TGAATGTTTATAGACTCCTTATCTGCAAGCATAGTTTCATACCCAGTCAAGTTGGAGTCTACTTAGATCAGATAGTGTGCCTTCCAACTCATTTCAGAAGTTCCCATCAGGAGCTGGAGAGATGGCTCATCAATTAAGAGATCTTGCTGCTTTTCCAGAGGACAAAAGTTGGGTTCCCAGAACCCAATCTGACAGTTTACAATCTCCTGGAACTTCAGCTCCAGGGAATTAAATGTCCTCTTCTGACCTCTGAAGGTATGCTTACACATCACACACACACACACACACACACACACACACACACACACACACACACACACACAAACACACAAGCTAGGTATGGTGACACACATCTTTAATCCAGGCAGAGGCAGGTGGATCTCTGAGTCCGAGGCCAACCTGGTCTCCAGAACTAATTCCAGGATGGCCAGGGCTAGCCTTGTCTACAGAGCAAGTTCCAGGACAACCAGGACTACAAGGAGAAATCCTGTCTCAAATAACAACAACAAAGATAAAAATTATTATTTTTTAAAAAGAAGCTCCCATCAACCTCCAATAAAAGTGCCCAGCTCAGAACAGCCAGTTAGTAGATGTCTGTTGGAAAAATTCATTCCAAAAGAATTTTAATTTCAGTATTATGATCAGCACAGATTTTTTTTTTTCTCTCACCAAACAGCTGGTGTGGAGGGACCACAGCCATCGGTGTGACCACAGCCATCAGTGTGCACATATAAAATCTACACCCTTCCCAGCCACTCTCATTTTTTTCGGTCCCCCCTCATCTGAGATGAAGGGGGAGGTTAGGGTCCAGATGAAGACCATGCAAATGATGCTAGAATATAACTTGGCAACTACTTGTTTAACTTTTTGTTGAAAATTCTTACTAAAAAGAACACACATCTTACATATCGAACTTAAATTCCCATCACTACTCGGAACAGGATTGGATTTTTTTTTTTTTTTTGTTTTGTTTTGTTTTGTTTTTCGAGACAGGGTTTCTCTGTGTAGTTTTGCGCCTTTCCTGGAACTCGCTTTGGAGACCGGGCTGGCCTTGAACTCACAGAGATCCGCCTGCCTCTGCCTCCCGAGTGCTGGGATTAAAGGCGTGAGCCACCACTGCCCGGCAGGATTGGATTTTTAAAAGGTTTTTATGCCTTGACATATCCCTCAAATCCAATCTTTTCTTTGGACCCTCCACCCCCACCTCACTCGTTTCTCCCCAGTACACGGTTCATCACAGACATCTAAAAATTTTGATTACGAGCCGGGCGGTGGTGGCACACGCCTTTAATCCCAGCACTCGGGAGGCAGAGGCAAGTGGATCTCTGTGAGTTCGAGGCCAGCCTGGGCTACAGAGTGAGTTCCAGGAAAAGTGCAAAGCTACACAGAGAAACTCTGTCTCGAAAACCAAAACAAACAAACAAACAAACAAAAAACCACTACCACCACCACCAACAACAACAACAAAAATTGAATACATTGAGTCAACAAACAGCTGAACGAGACCCGGGTTGGAAGGAAAGAGGAGCCGATAGAGTTGTGCCCAGGAAATTATTCCCATTGCCAGGATCCAGAGTTGAAGGATCCCTGCCGTAGAAGAGCTCAGAATTAATTTCTCCCCACAATATAGAAAGAGTTGTCTTGTTTGTTTGTTTTGAGACAGGCACTGTCTCACTATGTAGTCCAAGGTAGCCCCAAACCTCCTGTCTGAGCCTCCAGAAACCACAGCACGCTTCACAGGGAGTTTCAAAGGGCTCGAGGGCAAAGAAAGTGGGAACTTCCGGGTGGGCTGCGGCTGCCTGGCTCATCCCTCTCCCAGGCCTGGCTGGCTCCTCCTCCGCAATCAGTGCGGACTGGAGAAGAGCCCCTGTCCCCTGTCCCCTTCCCACTGCTCCAGTCAACAGTGGTCCAGTCATCCGGCAGCAGGGAGTCATCCATCAGGGTCGGGACGAGAACCAATCCCACATGCCCTGCCTGCCCGGCAGCCAATTGGAAGGAGGCGGGAGGAGCACAGCGTGTGTGTGTGTGTGTGTGTGTGTGTGTGTGTGTGTGTGTGTGTGTGTGCCTGCCTCTGTGTGTGTGTGCCTCTGCGTGTGTTGGGCGTGGGATGTGGCTGGGTTGACTCCAGGTATTATATTATAAAGAGGATTGAAGGGAGGCGCAGCCACCTGAGATCCCGACAGGGTCGAGACGTGACTGGCATTCATTCCCCTGTACCAAGTCCCTGAGTGAATTTCTCCAGTGCCCTCTGGCCGGGCCCTACGTTCCTGAGGTCTCAGTTTCTGACCTGATGCCAGTCAGCTGCAGGAAAAGGAGCGATCCTAAGGATCCTCGCCCGAGTTCGCTCGGGAGCTGCTGGCGCTAGAGAAGGAAGGACGTTACGATGGGCAGACACGGGAAGGCAAACCCTGGCTCGGAACTGCAGACGCCCTTCCCGAAACCCCTCAGGTTCCGGTCTGTGGCAGCTCTGATGAGGCTATCATTTCGGGAAGCTGGTGCAGCGGGCAGAGCACGGGGCTGCCAGCCAGGCCTGCTGTCTCGGCGGCTCCACTTGGCTGCAGAAAGCGAGGGGGCGGCCAAGAGACGCAATAGCCAGAAGGCTGGACTTGAAGACTAGGGGTCTTCGACATTATGGGAATTCAGCGCAATCCGCTTTGCGCTGCCTCTCCAGGCTCCTTTGCCAAAGTTTCCCAACGGGATCAGGGAAGCCTATAGCCATAGCAGGTGAAGGGACACTTTCTTATCGCTCCTACCCCCATCACTGTGTTTTGGTTTGGGTTATTTTAAAGACGGTGTCCCATCTGTGGCCCAGGCTGGTCTCAAACATATTAAGTAGTAAAGATGACCTTGAACTCTCTCTCTCTCTCTCTCTCTCTCTCTCTCTCTCTCTCTCTCTCTCTGTTTTTGTTTTTTCAAGACAGCGTTTCTCTGTGTAGCTTTGGAGCCTGTCCTAGAACTCACTCTGTAGACCAGGCTGGCCTCGAACTCACAGAGATCTGTCTGCCTCTGCCTCCTGAATCTGGGATTAAAAGGCGTGCGCCACCGCCGCCCAGCTCCTCTGTCTCTTAAGAGCTGAGGTTATAGGCTTGTGTGTCCCACACCCTGTGCGGTCCAAGTGTGAGCAAGGAATTCAGATGTTCTAGGAGAGTGAGAAAGTTACTGTCCCCCCACAAAGCGTGACTTTGTGGAAGCTGCTGCATACTTGAAAGTTTCAGGGCCTCGGTGTACTCCTTAGTAAAATGTCGACAGCACCGTGTGGTTCAAAGAACTGCCAGCTTGCATGAAGCTCCTAGCTCCTGCTTGACGCTTCCCATTCCCATCCTGGCACAGTTGAAATTGCAGGTTCACGCCAGGTTGCCAGGAAGCAGTTTACTCCTCCGAGCCTTGAGGTCGCTTAGGGACCATGGATGGAGCCAAGCGCTACGGGAGGCAGAATATTTGAGAAGTATTTCTGAAGAACTTCTTTCCCGTTGCCACACTGGCCCTGAACTCCACAATTTAATTGCACATTTTTCCTCTCTCTCTACTTCCAGGGTTACATTTTTGCATCTCAGGGCTGTGTGCACAGTGACCCAAGAAAGGGCTGTGTACGCAGTGACTCTGGAAAAATGTATAGTCAGCGTTTATAATGAAAAGATTTGCATTCCCGTACCTTCCCCAAGTTCTCTAATTACAAATGGAGTCCAATTCAGTATAAATATCCGGTCTGCTTTTTTGATTTTGTTTTAAGATAGTGTTTCACACAACCTAAGCTGGTCTCAAACTCATTATGTAGTAAAAGATGACCTTGAACTTGTGATTCTCCTGCTTCTGCCTGCCAAGGGCTGTGATTACAGGCGTGTCCCGTACGCTGGGCCTGGAAGTGACAACCACAGGGACAGGCTTTTATTAAGACCCAAAGCTCACCGCTATCTTTATTATAGCAGCTGGCAAAAAGCCCTGTGTTGAGAGGGGAGTCGCGCGTGCTGGTTGCTAGGGCAACGCACTGGCGCTGGTGTCAGAGATCAGCAAGAACACCACGAGGAGGGTCCATCCCACTCCAGGGGCGGAGTTAATCGAGGCCCTAGACCCGTAGGCGTGCCCGTCGTTCCCTCCAGATGGCGCTGTAGGACCACGGATGCTGTGCGGGGGCGGAGCTTCCTGCTGCGCTTTACTCCTGTGAGGGGCGGGAGCTGGGGCGGGGCGTGGGAGCCAGCAGCTCAAACTCTCGAGGGATCCATGAAGAAGATTCCCCACGTTACCGGAGAAAAGTTCGCGACGTGGAAAGCGTACGGATCAGAGAAAGACTGGGAGAAAGTGCAGAGTCTGGGGCTAGGATAGGGAAGAGGGGTCAGGATGCTCACAAAGTTTATTCATCTCCATCCTTGAGGTTTGTCCCGGTGAATCTCCTCCATCGCCTCTCTGGACCCACCCACCCCCCGATCCTTCACAACCTCAGAGGTGCGGATGCTCTGGACGTATGCGCAGTGGGCACAAGTCAGGGGCCTCCTCGCCCCCAGGATCCAGATAGAACCAGCAAGTTTATAGGGCTCTAGTGCCCAGGATATACGCCAAGACAAAATTCCGCAGTCCCAGGCACGCCAAGAAAAATAGCCAAACTGTTCCTCAGTTTGTCAAAGTAAGCCCTGACTCCTCTTCCTTTCTGGAAGCCAGGAACGGAAAAAATGACTCAAGGAATCCCTTGGCGGAGCCTTCCTGTATAAGCTGTGCACACAAAACGGGGGTACCATCTTCACCCCCTCCCCCCTTTCCTGGAAGACTGTTGTTCCTGTCACTATTATACCTCACCACGCCTTCGTATCTAGCCGCTCAACCACACATGGAACCCCAGGCTATCTGTGTTGTATCCCCCCCCAAACACACACTTCCCTTTCTCTTGACTCCGACGACCCCATTCACCCCACCCACCCAATAAAAGATGCACCGCGGAAGCCCTCCTCCGAACACACAGACACACAGACACACACACACATACACACTCCCAAAGCCAAGAAAGGAGATCTTTGGCAAGAAATGCAAGTTTATTAAGGCCTAGGGCTGAGAATGGCCGAGGTCCGAGGGAAAGAAGCTTTGCTGGTTCCCATGGCCCCAGGGGCAGGCCAGGGTACTGAGCAGGGTTAACGGAGCTGGGACCAAACTTCTGCTTCTCGGAATTCCTGGCAGGAGACCTCCTGGATCAGTTCCGGAAGAGGCCTGAGAAGGCAGAGGGATCTCTCCTGCCCCCTGAGGCTCGGGGCTTTTGCAGGGACTGGGAAAAAATGCTCTCTGGAGAGGGAGCCTCGACTCCAAGGTCTTCATTTCAGTAACGACCACTTAATTTGTTCCTTGGCTGACTGAAGAACCTGGGGCGAGGGGAGAATGTTGGGAGAAATAGTTGAGAATGTCAATCAACGGTGCCCTTACTGGAGGTCTGTGAGGCCTGAGGGAGCCTCTCCAGCCCTGGTCACTAGGTGGCGGCAGCTTGCCTCTACTTAGTTTAAATGCGACCAGGCAGGCCCAGCTCGCTGCAGCCAAACCCCAGCTGGCTGCCGCCCAAGCCAATGCAAGTGTGGGTGTGGCTGTGGCCCCTGCCTTCCCGGATCCATGCCAGGCTACAGAAGTTCCTCCTCACAGTGCCATCCCTAGGCAGGGGCTGGGCTCAGATGCTCGGCACCTTAACAAACCCCCCATTAATGCGGTGTGTTCCCTGCACCCCAGCCCGTCCGCTGATGTGGCGACGGCTGTCGATGTGTGGGCTCCTACTGCCAAGAAAAAACACCTCGGTCCAGTGTATGCCCATATCAGTACCAAGACTCCCTCTAGGCATGAAGCCTCCTTCTTTCCCCCCAAAATGTCGGTCCCACACTGCGCATGCCCCTTTCTCCTGCAGTCTCCCTCCTTCCTGGCGACAGTGAATTCCTCCCATCTCTCCTACGGAACCCTCTCTCCACATTTCATTTCATGCTCACTACTATAAGCTTTGTTTTTATTTAAGACTTCCACTAACACACAGGTGTGGTTCCTGTAATCTCAGCTCCTGGGAGGCTGAGGTGGGAGCGTGATGAGTTCAAGGCCAGCCTGGGCTACATAGCAAGCCCCTACCAGTCTTCATTCCTTGTTCATTTAGAGAAATAGAAATAGTTGTTTCCTGAGAATGTATGACTTAACATTCTAGGCTCTTTCCATCCACGAACTGGTTCATCTAAGTCTTCAAAATATTTTCTTTACAATCAGTGTGTGTGTGTGTGTGTGTGTGTGTGTGTGTGCTACACAGCGCACACATGGGATAAGAGGACAACTTGTGAGCAGGGCATGGTGATCCATGCCTTTATTCAGTGGAGAGGCAGAGGCAGGTGGGGATTGAATTTACGTCCTCAGGCTTGGCAATATGGCCCTTACTCACTGAGCTGTCTTGCTGATTCCTAATTTGTATAACTCTCTTCTGAGAGCCCTAGAGATGCTGAGTAACTCGTCATTCCACTTTTGCTGGTAAAGTAAAAGCTTTGGATGACTCACAGGAATGCAAGTTTTCTGTTATTGTTGCTGGTTAGTTTTTGTTTTTGAAACAGGGTCTTGTTCTTGGATCCAAATCTGAAGCGCTGGAATAACAAGCATGCACCGCCACACATGTACCATGAAGTGCAGGAATCTCCCAGGGCTGTGTGCATGCTGAGCAAGCACTCTACACCACCAGTCTTAACTTACGCTCTTCTTCATTACTTTAATTTTTAAAAATTGTATGTGTGTCGTCAGGCAGTGGTGGTGCACACCTTTAATTCCAGCACTCAGGAGACAGAGGCAGGTGGATCTCTGTGAGTTCGAGGCCAGCCTGGTCTACAGAGTGAGATCCAGGACAGTCAGGACTACACAGAGAAACCCTGTCTTGAAAAACCAAAAAAATTGTTATGTGGCTTTTTGCCTATATGTGTGTCTGTGTGTGTGGCTTTTTGCCTATATGTGTGCCTGGTGCCTGCAGAGTCCAAACAAACTCCTAGAACTGGAGTTACAAATGGTTGAGCCACCATGGGTATGCCTGAAACAGGTCCCCTGTAAGAGCAGGGAGTGCTCTTAACCACTGAGCCATCTCTTTAGCTCTCCCCAATGTGTGTTCTTGTTCGCTCTGCTCATCAACACTCCCCTTTTAGAGGGTTTAATGTTTCTTTCATTTATTACTTTAATGTGTTTATGTGAAGGTCAGCAAACACCTTGTGGGGAGTCAGTTCTCTGTCACAGCAATCAAGCTCAGCTCATCGGGCTCAGAGGCAAGTGCCTTTACTTGCTGAGGCATCTCAATGGACTACGTGTTGTATGTTTCTTATTTTTTATTTTTAAGACAGGGTCTCATGGAGATATCTTAAAAATCTGGCCTCAAACTTGATATGGCTTTGAACTCCTGATCCTCCTGCCTCCACCTCCCAAGTGCTGGGATTATGGGTGTGTGTGCCACCATGCCCAGCTTGGTTTATTTTATTTTAGATAAAGTCTCATGCTACAGCCCTGGCTAGCCTGGAACTCACTGTGTAGCTCAGGCTTGTCTTGAACTTGAGATCCTCAAGCCCAGCTTGGTTTGTTTTATTTTTAGATAAAGCCCCATCCTACAGCCTGGGCTAGCCTGGAACACACCGTATAGCTCAGGCTGATCTTGAATTTGAGATCTTCAAGCCTCAGCCTTTCCAGTATTGAGGTTATAGGTGTGAACCACTGTGCCTGGCTCTTCCAACCTCCTTCCACCCTGAAAACCACCACGCGGCCACATCCTTTTCCAGCAGAACATGAGGAAACACGGGGAACCAGAGGGTGATAGGGTGACCAGAGTAGTGCAGGACAGTGGGCATCTCTCCTGGTGCTCTCCACTGATGGCACAAGCCCGTCTCTCACAGGGCTGCCACATTAGGACTAGTTTAATCCAGGGAGGGAAGCTCCTTGGACACAGTAAGTCTGAGCAGACAGACCTGCAGATGGACAGAACTGAAGTCAAACCATTTGGCTTGACTAGCAGGAAGTCTGTGAGACTGGAGACCCAGTTTGTGGACAGTAACCAGGGTACACACACACACACACACACACACACACACACACACACACACACACACACACACACTGCTGCCATATTCTGCATGCATCCCAGTTAGGGTTGTGCAAGGTGTATGGCTGGCTCCTTTTCAACAGCCAAGCTACTAAGGGCAGAAGTGAAGAGTACAGAAAGTTAGACCCTACCCCTGGGTGATGAGGCCCTTAACCATCCCAGCATGGCCCCTGAGTGGTGAGGCTAAGTGCTGGAGACAAACTCCCACATGGCATCCTGTCCAGGTTGGAGGAAATGTGGGGGATCTGGGACTCTACATTGCTTCGGGTAACAAGTAACCCAGGCATCATCAGGGTAGCTGGTTTAGGGGAGGAAATGGGGTGAGCAGGTGGTAATTTGCCCACTCATCCCTTGGCACCCAGTTCCCAAGAGCTCAGTATCCTCAAGGGCTTCCTCTAGGAGTCACCAGCTCAGGCGGCGGTGGTGGCACTCAAAGCATTCAGGAGGCAGACAGATGGAGCTCTGTGAGTTCGAGGCCAGCCTGGTCTACAGTGCTAGTTCCAGGACAGCCAAGGCTACAGAAAGAAACCCTGTCTCAAAAAACAAAACCACACACACACACACACACACACACACACACACACACACACACACACACACAGAGTCACCAGCTCATCCCTTCTGTCCCACATCTCTGGTTTCTTAACTCTGACTATCTGCCCTGGAGCACTGGGCTCTCCATGTCCTTTGGCCTGTTTCTGGCCAAGGCAGATGCATGGGGCTTCTTACCTGGGCCACACTCTGTTCTGTCAGGCCAACGTCATCAGTCTGTGGGGAAGGAGAATCACAATCAGGAGGGAGAGGAGTCACTGAGTCCGAGAGGTGACAGCTTGCAGGCTGAGGGGTGCAGCAGTTAGCATGACCCAGAACTGCGCCTCTACCTCCACTTAGCAGACCGAGGTCCTGCAGCCCATCCTTCATTGCTGGGGATTAAACCCAGGGTCTCACACATGCTAGTCAAGTGTTCTACCCCTGAGCTGCATCCTCAGCCTAACTGAAGGGAGGCTGGTAAAGGGAACTAAAGTTGGGGAAAGGTGTCATCCGGGCTGCAGGTGTGGAAAAGCCGAGCCAGAGCAGAAGGGTGTAATCCACAGTCCCCAAGGCTGCCTCCTGGAGTCATTCTGAGGATGCTGTTGTTGCTCCGTCCAAGCTTCTCACTGGAGGGTGGGAAGGGGCTGCTTATTTATTTATTTGTTTGTTTTTTGTTTATTATTTGTATGGGGAATGAACAGGAAGCTTTTCCTCTTAGCAACAGACACCCCGCAGCTGCCACCACTAACTACTTGTAAGTGTGAAGCCTGAGTGGCCGGGCTCCCACCAGCTGAGCCCTAACAGCCTGATGCCCAGGAAGGACAGGGGGAGTAAGGACAGGAAAGGCAGTGTGGAAAAGGTAGGGGTGGGGTACAGGAAGGCTTACCCTAAAATTCACTTTCTGGATCACTTGCTGGGGGTCACTCTCCAGAATCACACTGCAAGATAACAGAAAATTTGGAGGTGGGTCAGTGATGGGATTCCCCTCCAACAAGCCACTTTCTGACTTCTCATATATCCTGCAGTGTCTCTCCTCCGGGGAACCTTCCCACAGGTGGTCCTGGAGCCACACCCGTCCCTCCCTCTGGGGACTCTCAGCTCTGTTCCCTCTGCACTTTATACCATGGTCCACCTCCATGATCACCTCTGGGGCAGTACTCATCTGAGGGGCTGGTGAGGTGGTACAACCCGAAAAGGTGCTTGCCACCAAACGTGACGACGCGAGTTCGATCCCTAGAACCCACACGGTAGACGGAAAGAACTGACTTGATCCATACTCAATGCTCCGGCACACACAGTGATCAAAGATAAATAATAATAATAAATGTAAAAAAATAAAACAGCCGGGCGGTGGTGGCGCACGCCTTTAATCCCAGCACTCGGGAGGCAGAGCCAGGCGGATCTCTGTGAGTTCGAGGCCAGCCTGGGCTACCAAGTGAGTCCCAGGAAAGGTGCAAAGCTACACAGAGAAACCCTGTCTCGAAAAACCAAAAAAAAAAAAAATAAAATAAAATAAAATAAAATAAAACAACAGAAGTCAGGACAGCCCGGTCTAGATGAGCAGATGCTGTGGAGGGACTGGGTCCTCTCACATTTAGAATCCAGCCATCAGACACCACCAAGCAATAGCAGGCAGCTAATAAAATACAGAAAGGGGGGCCTGGCGGTGGTGGTGCACGCCTTTAATCCCAGTACTCGGGAGGCAGAGCCAGACGGATCTCTGTGAGTTCGAGGCCAGCCTGGTCTACAGAGCAAGATCCAGGACAGGCATCAAAACTACACAGAGAAACCCTGTCTCGGAAAAAAAACAAAACAAAAAACAGAAGGGGGAGTGAGGCATTCACAGTACCCCACCTCCCAGAGGCCCCAGCTCTCAAGTTGGGAGGTACAGTACCACAGGAAGTATATAGCCTCTGAAACATCTTATGCACATGGTTTTAGATCTTGGCCCTTCTAATTCCCTTGGTGTGTGTCCTTAGATAAGTTACTAGAATCTGAGCCTCTGTTTCCTCCTCTGTAAACATGGGCTGATGTTTCAAAGACGCTATAATCCCAGCACCTCCAGCACTGAGGCAAGAGGGCAAGGAAGGTGAGGGGGAGACACTCTAGAGGTTTCTGCTACCATTTACCCCAGAGTCAGAACTTTCCTCTTCCCTGATTATTGCACCTCTTTCAAGGAATTCTACGAACCAACCTTTCTTATAAAGGCTCCCAATCATCTAGGAGTCTGCTAGCGTACTAATGAGAGGCAATATTTACTGAGGAAAAAGACAAAAAAATTTCCCAAATTACCAATGAGAACCATGGGCTTTATATGCATCATTTTGTATGACCCTCACAATCCTATGTGATAGCTTCCTTTTATCCTCATTTTAGTGACAGGGAAAGCAGACTCAAGAAGAGACAGTGTCACACGTGTATCTAGCTGCCATCGAAGGGGGATCCTCTGACTGAGGTCCTTTCAGAAAGGGACGGGTGTCTATATTCCTCCTCGGCCCTGGAGAACAATTTGGGTTTTCCCAAACTCAACCTATCTAGCTGCCTGTTGTGGGTAGCTGTCGGGCTGCCCTCCCGTTTGGCTTGACTCTGGCTACTCATGACAAGGGGAGAAGGTTGGGGCCTAGTAGGAATACATGGAGAAGGGAGGATGAGCTGGCCAGAATGCGCCCAGCACTGAGCCCACAAAGGTATCCTCAACATCTCTTCTCTCTATCCCCTCCTCACCCGCCATCTACAATTTCATCCAGCACCAAGAAGGCTCCATCCATGTTCTCCAACAACCAGCGTCTCTCCACGTTCTTCCTGTGGGCAGATACAAGCACCTGAGCCTCCAGGTGGCCAAGAGGAACCATGACTCCTCTAAGCAAGGCAGCTCCTCTCCTTCCCCCTTCCCAAGAAGGCCTGGGCAGGAGAATAAAAGGCAGGGGGAGCAGGGCCGATGCCTGGGACTCCTGAGCACAGGGCAGGCCTGGGTCATCCTGGGTTGGTTTGTCCAGTGGTTATCAAGCTTCCTAACGCTGTGACACAATATGTTCCTCAACCATAAAATTATTTTGTTGCTACATGATAAACTGTAATTTTGCTACTGTTATGAATCATAATGTAAATAGCTGGTATGCAGGATATCTGACATGCAACCCCTGTGAAAGAGTCATTCGACCTTCAAAGGGGTTGCAACCCACACTCTGGGCCATGTAGCTGGCGTAGGTATTAGTGTTGATTGGGGATGCATGGAAAACCAACTCTGAACTTAAAAGTTAAAGATACTGTTTATAGCGGGGTGTGGTGGTACACACCTGTAATTCCAGTACTCAGGGGACTGAGGACGCAGGACTGAGGGGGAAGCCAGTGTGGGCTGCGTAACAAGACCTTCCTCTCCCTGCTCTCCCTGCATTTGGAACTTGTGTCGATATGAGTACTATGACCTCAGGCAACTCAGTGTCTTGAGATTTGATAGCTGATCATACCCCGTGCATGGCTCTGCCTGGGGCACCATGGAAGTCAGGGGCCCTGGAGGAAGCAACTCCAGTTCCAAGGCTTGCAGAGCCTTCCAGGACAGCAAGGCAGAAGGGCCTTGCCTCTGGACAAAGGGAGAGGCTGGGGGCTGGGGCCCTGGCGTGCACAGGGTCTCACTTACCTTAAGATGTGGCTCAGAGAGTCAAACAGGCAGGCCAGAACAGACATGAGCATCAGCTGAGGAGGAGGGTGTGGGAGGAGGGAGAGAAAAGAGGGGACGCTGAGCGGGCCAAAGCAGGCCTTGGAGCTCCCTGTGTGGGCCAGGAGGGAGCACTCCCTTTTCAGAGAGGGCGTGGCTGGAGGCTAGCAGCACTTTGACTTGGGAGGGGGAATTTCCCCAGGTTTGAGCTGAGGGACACTGGAGTGCTCCCCTTGAGGACATACTGGG